TGCCATGTAGCTAGCTCTCTGTATATGGACATTTTGGACTCATCTGCCATGTAGCTAGCTTTCTGTATATGAACATATTGGACATGCCTGCCATGTAGCTACCTCTGTGTATATGCACATGTTGGACTCATCAGCCATGTAGCCAGCTCTCTCTGTATGAACGTTTTGGAAACATCTGCCTTGTAGCAAGTCCTCTATATGGTTGGTTCTGACTCATATTAACTACAGTAGGATGCAAAAAAAAAAAAATGTTGTAAAGTCTATTCCAACTCCTAGTACCTAACAGCACAGGGTAGGACTGCCCCACAGAGCTTCCATTGCTTTAATTTTATGGAAGCAGATTGCCACATTTTCTCCTGTGGAGCAGCTGGTGGGTTTGAACAGCTGACCTTTCAGTTAGCAGTCAATCACTTAACCACTGTGCCACCAGAGCTTCCTCACAGTATGATATAGAACCAGGGAATCCTAAACAGAGGGTCTGAAGATATCCTTCAAGTATTTGTGAATTTGAATGAGAAAAAGCAATTACCAACTAAAAAGTAGCATTTGCTACAGTTAGGAAGACAACACCACAGTCATCTTATTAACCTCTATGTGACTTTATCACCGGTAGATTTCATGTACTTTTTTCACATCATATAGTTGAGCTCTGGTAGCATAATGGTTATGAATCAGTCTGCTAATCTCACGGTCAGCAGTTCGAAACTACCAGCTGTTCCATGGGAGAAAGACGAGGCGTTCTGCTCCCATAAAGATTTACAGCCTCGGAAACCCTATTCAGGGTTCCTATGAGTCAGAACTGACTCCACGGCACATAACAACAACAACAACATCACACCCACTACTAGACCTTGATATTTGTGCATTAATAAAGAAGTATGTCTGTTACAGAGTCCTGGTGTGGTGCTATAGGATAAGCACTAGACTACTAACTGGAAGGTTGGCAATTCAAACTCGTCAACTAGTCCTCATGTATGGTTGTTTATGAGTCAGAACTGACTCGATGACACTTAACAACAACAATGCCTATTACTGTACCAAAAACTTTTTTAGTAGTTGGAGAGTGTATTTTAATATACAAGCATGCATTGCTTAATGTTTGCAATATGTTCTGTGAAATACTACATTACGTAATCTGGACTTTGTATAGACATCATATTTTGTAAGTAAGCTTGAAAAAGTTCATGAAACATTTCCATTCCCTTTTCATCCCATTTTCCTGTGAATGTTTAAAAGCCCCGATGTATATAATGCATATATGTATATATATTCAATATACATATGTCAAAGTAACTCCCTTGTAAGCTGCTCTGGCTGTCTGTTAGCTTCTAGAACCTTGGGGTTTGCAAACTTGGACCTGCTGTTGACTGCCTCCAGGCCCACAGTGCTCACCAGCCCCCGGGGAGCCTGGCAGCTCAGTGTCTCCTGGCAGGGTGGTTGAGCAGGGCATGCATCAGCAGCCCTGTGGAAGCAGCAACTAGCTCAGCTGTCGTGAGACTCTGGGACAAATTAAACACTGGCCCGGCCTCCTGACACCATTCCAAGCAAGCCCCTCTTCGCTGCCCCATGAGCTATATGCAGACAGAAGTTGCGACCACTATGTGGTGCATGCCTGTATCTGGTCTCCTTTCTCTTTTATTTTGTGCATTTAAAGACGTTCTGAAAATATCCTTGAGCTTCACCAGGTTTCACCGGCGCATAAAAACCACTGGGAACACCTGGCATAGAATGTGCCCTGCTGGAGGTAGGCCCAGGACACTGTGGGAAGACAGGACAGAGCTAAGAGATGGGATTGGAGAGGGTTAGGAAGCACTGTGTCCTCAGAGTGGGATGTTTGATTTCCTGAGACCCAGCAGTGGTTTGCCATACTGGCCATAGTGCTAACAGGAGGGGAGACGTGGACTCCTGAGTTTAGGCTGTGTGTCGGAGCAGATTACTCTGTAGGCAAGATAAGCACGGGCCTACTTGTGTTTAGTAATCTGTAGTGAACAAGTTCAAAGATGTGGTGAAAAACATGTGAAACCACTACCGATTAGTAAGAACATGTAAACCGTCTTTTCCTTGCTTCCTGGCTCCTCTGCCCCTGTTGGGGATTGAACATTTGAAAAGAGACATTGGTTCTGTACGCAGGTGTTGTGAACTTGGAAGAGAGACAGGTGCTAGTTTTACCTAGAAGTACAATCTTTGATGTGAAAAAATGAGAAGTTGTTCACTACACAAGTGCTTACCTTATTGGTAATGTATGGGCAGGCACAGAGGGCTGTTGTTGCTAAGTGTCTTCAAGTCAGTTCCAATTCATAGCAATCCTGTATACGGTTTTCAGGCCTTTAAATCTTTGCAAGAGGAGAAAACCTCATGTTTTTTCCTGAGGAGCAGTTGGTGGACTTGAGCCTCGTGGTTTGTAGTCCAATGCTTATCCAGAGGGCTAAGGAGCTTTGGTGATATAGTGGTTACGAGTCGGGCTGCTAATCTCAAGGTCAGCAATTCGAAACTAGCAGCTGTTCCATGGGAGAAAGATGAGGCTTTCTGCTCCCGTAACGATTTATAGCCTTGGAAACCCTGCACAGGGTCGCTATGAGTCGGAACCAACTTCACGGCACATCACCAAAAAACCATAATAGTCTGCTTAGTGATAGACGACAAAATTGTCATAAGAATTGTATTTTTAACTTTATTAGGTTTCATCGTTTCTTGGATGTCAACAGCCACCAGGTACAAAAGACCATTGAAAGGTAAGCCGTTTTACGTACCTGTATACCCACTTGTTCAGAAACATGTAAAGTCATCGTAGATCTTTTTAATGTCATTCTAACTATTGATTGATATTTTATATTTTAGAATTTATGAAAAGTTTGTCATTCATTCTGATCTCAACAAAGCTGCTAGTTGGAAGAGATTAACTGAGGAATTTCTAAATGCGTCACTTCCAAGCATAAAGGAACTAAAGGTACTTGTTCTGTTGTGAGGTTTCCGTTGTCTGTTTCACTGCTTTTACTCTCATTGTCTTCAGCTTGCTTGGGGTAACATGTGAACATTCATTCTATACTAATATTGCTCACTGGTTAGAACAGGATCTCCTGGAAATTGACTTAAATTTTGCCATCAAATCCAGTGTGCCTCTTGGTTGATGAATAAAAAGCATGTTCTTCTTTAAGCATCTTTTCAGCCCCAACCTGTTTGGGAAATAGAGATCAGAACCTATTACAAATGATAGCATGGTCCAGACCTTCAAAATGTCTAATTGCTTTTCAGCATTTGTGGATAGTAGCTTCCTACTCCTGTGGACTCCTGGCATGACCCTGTAGGATAAGCATTGGACCACAAGGTTGGTTTGAACCACACAGTCAGCAGTTCAAACTCACCAGCTGCTCCTTGGAAATTCTATACAGGGTTGAGTATGAGTTGGAACCAAATCGATGGCACTTAACAAAACACCACTACCTACTCTTATAATGCTTACTAGATTCCAGACACTGTTCTAAGCACTTTCATACTGAGACTGGAGTACTTTAAGTGTGATCATTGCATACAATTTACTGTAAAAAGGCTACAGAATTATGTCAGCAAAAAGAAAAGATGCACAGGGTAAAGGGCAGGAAAATACAGGCAGAAGCTTCCAGGTTTCTCTTCACAGTGGAACTGCAGAGGGATGTGCTTCTTTTCCCAACAACAGTGTGTGGCAAGCGTTGCCAAATCAGGAGGCTTACGTGAGCCTTCACATCCAGAGTTTCCATTGGGGGCCAGACACATACATGGGCAGCACTTGCATCACTGACCTTTGCTAATTAGTTTCTAGTCCCCAAGAGGCCAAACTGACCAGGGCCTAAGACTTCCCAAAAAAGTGTTCATCATAAATGTCATTGTTCGTGTTAGCTATCTGCTGAAGCTAGGACAGCAGGGTCCAAAGTCTCCAACATACAAAAACACACATCAGGTAGAAAATTCCAAGGGTCTGAGAGTATGTTCCAAGAGCAGGTCAAGGGCCGATCTTAAAGACTTTTAGAATATTTAGGGTTTAGACATCCCAAGCCTACTGAGTTCACTATACACGTAAATTATTTAATTCTGTGAGAAATAGGCTTTCACTATGGAAAATTGGTATCTACTGTTGTTGTTTGTGCTATTACCAGGAGCTTTTAAGCAGGGTGTTAGTCCATATTTAAGTATTTGACTTTTTTCCCTTGATTTTATTATTGGTTATTTCTAATTTTATAGCTTTGTGATCTGAGAAGATGCTTTATAGTATTTTGATACTTTTAAATGTATTGAGGTTTGCTTTGTGACCTGACATACAGTCTTTTCTAGAAAAAGGGTCCCTGTGCACTAGCAAAGAATGCACGTTGTACTGTTGGTGGGTGGAGTGTTCTGTATTTGGCTATGAGATCAAGTTGGTTGATTGTGTTGTTAAGTTCTTTTGTGTCTTTATTGAGTTTCCTTCTAGTTGTTCTGTCCTTCATCAAAACTGGCGGATTAAAATCTCCTACTATTGTAGAGTTACCAATTTCTGTCTTCAATTTTATCAGTTTGTTTTAAACTTCTTAATGTGAATTGAGTGAAGGCTTACAGACAGGAGCATCAGTTTTACATTCAACAAATCATAAACTTTGTTTCATCTCAATGACTGCAATCCCCTCCCTGCAACAACAGTTGTCCTGCTTCTTCCCTGTGGTTCCCCATTACAAATATCCTCTTTCACACTCTTAGATATTTGTGGGACATCTTTCTTCCTCCCATACCCATTCTGCCTGTGTGTCTGTCCATGTATCTACATGCAGAACATTGTTGTTCTAATATATAATAAGTATATACACACACACATATATATATGTATGTATAGATCGATATCGATATAGATACAGATATATATATATATATAAATAGTGATATATATATATCACTATTTACCTCCATTTTCCTTACCCCTTTTTAGCCCTGTGTCTTCACTTGTCTTCATCATTCTTCTACCAACCTCCTTTTTCTTGTATATTACCCACGCTGTCCTTGAGTTAACATATGTCTACCCTCTTCTTGTTGTTGTCCTCTATTGTTGTTAAGTGTTGTCAAGTGGGTTCCGACCCATAGTGAACCTGAATAGGGTTTCAAAGGAGCAGCTGGTGAGCTTGAACCACCAACCTTGCAGTTCAAACGGCTTTGCAATCTGGCGCATTAGCCCACAGCGCCTGGACATTAGCCACCAGGATTCCTGTTGTCCTCTAGCCAGTGAATTATTCTCCCTTCCCTCCCATCCCTGGTAACCATCAAAGAATATTTCTTTTAGTATGAAAACCTTTCCTTGAGTTTTAAAAATAGTGGTCATAGACAATAGTTGTCTCCATGTGATTGACCCACCTCACTCAGCACAATGTCCTCCTGGCTCCTCCGTGTTAGGAGGCACTACTCAGATTTGTCACAATTCTTCAGTGTTGCACAGCATTCCATTATGTGTGTACCAAAGTTTGTCCATCCACTCTTCCACTGACGGGCACCCAGGCTGTCTCCTCTTCTGCCATTGATAATAGTGCTGCAATGAACTTTGGTGTGCATATATCTATTCGTGTCCTGGCTCGCATTTCTTGTGGATACATACCAAGTAGAGAGATTGCTGGGTCCTACAGTATTTCTGTTTCAAACTGTCTGAAGAAGCACCATGCCGTTCTCCACAGTGGTCGAACCATTATACAGTCACGCTAGCAATGCCTGAGGGTCCAGTTTTGCCACACCCCTACCAGCATTTGCTGTTCTCTGCCTTGTTGAGCTTTACTATTAATGCTGGTGTGAGATGACATCTCATTGGTGCCTTCATTTGCATCTCTCTAATGGTCATGAACACTTTCTCATGTACTCATTGGCCGCCAAATGTCCTCCCAGTGAAGTGTCTACACATGTCCTGTACTCGTCCTTCAACTGCATAGTTTGCCTTTTTCTTGTAGAGGTATTGTACTTTTCTTTAAATTTTAGAGATTAGTCGCTTGTCTGATAAGTCGTTACAAAAATATTTTTCCTGGTCTGTTGGCTCTCTTTTTAACTTTGGCAGAATCTTTTGATGCACCTAAGTGTCTAATTTTTAGGCAGTCCTAGTGATCTATTTTGTCTTCTGTAGTTTTTTAGTAATATTGGATAGTGTATTTATGCCATGTATCAGAGCCCCTAAACTTGCCCCTATTTTCTTATTGATGATCTTTGTAGTTCTTGGTTTTACATTTAGGTTTTAATCCATGTTGAGTTCGGTTTTGTATATGGTACGAGACATGGGTCTTGCTTCATTCTTCAGCAGACAGATTTCCAGTTTTGCCAGCATCATTTATTGAAGAGACTATCTCTTCCTCATTTAATGTATGGTGGCCCTTTATCAAAGCTGACTGTCTGTATTTGGATATACTTCCGGGCTCTCCACTCTGTTCCACTGATCCAATACATCCTTTGTTGATCCAGTGCCAGGATATTTTGACCACTATGGCAGGGCAGTACATTTTGAGGTCAGGGTGTGAGAGGCCTCCAACTTTGTTCTTCTTTTTAAGCAGTTCATTGCTTATCCAAGGTTTCCCTTCCCTCCATGTAAAGCTAGTGATCATTTTTTCCATTGGTATCCGGACTGGGACTGCATGATATCTATTGATTGTTTTTGGTAGTGTTGACACCTTCATAGTGTTAAGACTTGCTGTATGTGAGCTTGGTATATTCCTCTACTTTTGTAAGTCTCTTGGTTTCTTGCAGCAGTGTTCTGTAGTTTTCTTTGATAGGTCTTTTACCTCTCTGGATAGATCCATTCCCAAGCATCTCACCTGGGTGGTTGTTGTAAATGGCACTGCTTTCCTAATTTCCTTTTCAGAGCTGCTTTATTTGCATGTAAGAATCCAACTGATTCCTGTCTATTGATCCTGTACCCTGTCACCTTGCCAAATCTTTCAATGAGTTCCAATAATTTTCTTGCTGAGTCATTAGGACTTTCTGTGTTTAGGATCATATCATATGCAAATAGAGTTTCACTTCTTCCCTGCCCATTTGGATGCCTTTAAGTTCCTCTTTTTGCCTTAGAGCTCTGGTCAAGACCTCCAACATAACACTGAATAGGAGTGGTGATGAAAGGCATCCTTAGCTGGCTCTGGCCCACAAAGGGAATGCTCTCAGTTTCTCTCCATTGAGGATAATGTTGGCTGTTGGATTTTTTTTATATGCTCTAAATTATGTTAAGAAATTTCCCTTCAATTCCTACTTTGTTGAGTGTTTTTATCAGGAATAGTTGTTGGACTTGTTCAAATGCCTTTTCTGCATCAATCGACATGATCATGTGGTTCTTTTCCCTTGTTTTATGCAAAATGATAGATTACCCTGATTGTTTTTATAATATCGGACCATATTTGCATCACTGGAGTGAATCCCACTTGGTCATCATATATTAGAAAATTAGTATCTTAAAGAAGAGAGGGAAAGTAATATAAAGGTATTTCTGGGAGATTGGGAGGAGGAAAGTACTATAAAGGTATTTCTGAAAGAGTGGGAGAATTACAGTGCTCTGAATTCACACCCTTGTTGCTGTTGGTGCCGTTGGGTTGGTTCCATAACAGAATGAATGGAAGCTGTATCATCTGCATCATCATTGATATGTTTTGACTGTGATTTTAATCCATTGTATTGGGGGTTTCTCTCACTTTTTCTGATGGTACTTTATGAAATGCGATGTTCTTTTCCAGTAATTGGGTTTTCATGATGGAAAGTCCAAAGAAGTGAGCTGGAGTCTAGCCATCCTTACTAATTTGTTTGTTCTTCTGGAAATCCATGGTGTAGTCTATTCTTCACTAACATAATTCAGATGCATCCATTTTTCTCCTATCTTCCTTTTTCATGGTCCATATGAGGTGATTGAAAAGGCCAGGGCTAGGTTCAAGCGCATGGTGGTCTTAAATGTGACATCTTTGCTTTTTAAGACAAATGGCTTTCACAGCACAT